ACGTCGAACTTGTGTACTTGGGCCGCAACTTCGCAAAATTGCTATAAAGTGTGCGAGCGCAAACTTCCGTTCTCGCCCTTTGTGGCTAAACAGCCGTTTGTTCGTTTGTTGTGCGACAGTTTTAGCGCTCACTCGTAACTAGTGAAGTTGTTAGCCAAAGAATGAAAATCGATAATGAAAGACTTTACTACAAATCTGAAATTGCGATCTATTTGTAATCTACAATGTTTTCCGCGAGAAAATATACTGATTTGTCTTACACTTTTACAATACATATATTTAACAATATTAGCATCTATTTAATTTTAATAATCTAATTATTTATTAGAGACTTACACATTAGATCTATATTTTTTGCTTATCTTGCTGATCTTTGATAATAAATAGAAATTTAAGACTTGTTTTGCAAGAGTATTGAATTTATGTTTATTAGTTTAATTTTAAATAAATTTTATTTTAAATGTATGTTCATATTCAGAAATTTAGTATTAGTCAAATTGAAAGATTTCATCAATTACATTTTTTGCAATCATGTATTATAACAAATCTAGAATAAAAAAGTAATCATATTTTTGATCGTTAGTTTATCACTGTTTTCTGTGGTCTGTTCGTGATCTCATCATTTCTGCTTTATATTTCCTAAATATAACATCCATCATGCACGCACATACGAACATCGGACGTCAAACTTTAACAGGCACGTCCTGTGTGCTTATAGGACATGCAGCAGATGTATACGCTATGAGTAGTTATACATCTGGCGGAAAGAAGAATACGCGAATGTGCTATGAGAGTAGTTTCATGTAGACGAAGCTGTCGTCTGTAGTGCACATCCCGGTAGTAACCCATCTTTACGACCAACATTCGTGGAAAGTGCGTCTTTCCTTTTCCCCGTTATGCCGCATCATCAACGCAGTTGCAATAAAGAGAGAAATCATCTTGAAAGCTATCTTAAGAGATTAAAATCTACTTTTATAATTTTAATGGCATCTCATATGAACGAGTTCATATAAAAATATAGGTTGACTTGTATTATATAACAAACTACTAGGCTATTCGATAACATTGCCATTATTTTTAAAAGATACGTGCTACTATGATTATTAATTATTATTAATTATGGATTTATTTTATTCGAGAAAAGCGTTATCTGTTTAAATATTTAACTTCTCTTTGTTATTTTTATTACATTATATTTCTTAAATTATAATATACATAATATATAATTAATAACATTATATTATAAATTATAATATACTATAACTATACATAATATTTCTATTTATTATGATCTGATTTTTGGGTAAAATCTTTGTATTAATTATAAAGTATTTAGGAATAAAATGATTGAAGTATAATTTTTCTTTTAATTAACTTAAGTGACAGAATGTCACATCCAATTATCCGTGAAAAATCCGACTGGATAAACTGGCCGTTTATTGTTGCGGTTCGCGTAGCGTATCGTGAAAGTATGACGTCTCATTCCGTAGTCGGTTTATGACTGTTGGCTGTCTCCGGAAATAAAACATACGAGAATGACACCTGGCTTGAGGAAATCGTCGACACTCGGCTGCGTCTTTCCGAATCCGCGAGAAATCACGACGGAGTTATTCCGACGACCGTAAAAGGACCGGCCAAGGAACGAGCGTCGTTCCGGAGGAATCGTCTCGTCCGTGGAAGACATTCATGCGAGACACGTAATCGCGAATATAACACGTACCCGTGTGAAGTGTATTATCCGCGTAGTGCAAGTCACTTGAAAAAAACAGCAAAAAATAAGTTTTTATGAAATATCATTGCTATCGTCATTGCGAGATTAAATTTTACACGTATTATATGGAAAATTTAAAACGTGTACTATTATTGTCCTACTTTTTTGCAAAAATTGAAAATTGATTAGATATTTTTACAATATATTGTTTCTCATAGGGTAATATATCTCCGATATATACGGCACACTTTCAAAAACTTAATTTATTAAGTATTATTTACTATGTTTAAAGTAAACGAACGAACTATATCAGTAAAAATTTTGTATTGTCTACTATTATGAAAAAAATATTAGAAATTTGAAATATTTATATTTTTTATTAAAAAATGAACTTTTTTAAACTCTTGCATTTTTGCCATATATCCCATAGAGATGGAATAATATATTTATATGGAGAAGGAGAGTATGTACGGCTCATGAAAAATTTATAAATAATGCATATAAATAAGACATAAAATGACACAATAACTTATAAAATATGTTTATAAAATTTTATTATATAAGAATAAACATGTATTAAGTAATAAATAATAATTACAATCTTCTCATATGTATTACAAGTGTTATGACATGAGATATATATTTCATGTAATGCATTTATTGCATTTAGTGTACTGAATTCAATCTGCGCACTTTGTATGCATAAATCCCGCCCGGTAAAAATGCCGTATATCCCAAATAGGTGTGATACACAAGACAAAAAACTAAACAAAGAATACAAGAGTAAAGTACATGTATTTTACTATACAATATGCTTTACTATTTCTCTATACTCATGTATTACGAAATAACCACTAAGTTTTTTTTGCACGTCCTACATTAATTATTTTATGTAGATTATAATTTATGATGCTACTTAACACAGTGACAATTCGATTCAACTCATAATAATTTCTTTAATATTAACAGTAAGAAACTGAAATCATAACACTATATTAACATAAGGGCATGTAACAGAGTAGTTGCGGGAAAATTACTCCCATTCCTTCTATTTTTTCCGACTTCTGCGGCGTAAATCCCAGCGAGGCGTATTTGCCGGGGTTCCCCTAATTATATATAGGTGTGTGTGTATGCGTGCGCGCGCGCGTGTGTGTGTGTGTGTGTGTGTGTGTGTGTGTGTGTGATTGACGTGCACAACATTGTTAGATATCAAAAAAGCAATAATAGTAACTCTTTGAGTAGAATAATATTTTATTTTTAATTTCCATGTATGTTTAATATAAATATTAATGTTAAATATAAATCAATCCATTTCTGTGATTAGTTTCAAAAGAAATAATTATGCCCATATTAATATATTTTTTTTTTAGTTAAATTATTTAACTACATTGTTTCAGTTAAATTAATAATATATTGAGTAGTAGCAATGGCGACCTATGGAAATGATGAAAATAATTCAAATTGGATGTAATAATGACATTATGAATTTAACAATAAAAATTTAGTATCAATACGCGATATTATATTTCATCTATCTTCTATTATATAAAAAATGCCATAAATTGAATGGAATATTCCTTTAAGAATATAAAAGTATGAATATATTATGCAAACAGTACTTTAAATAAAATACAATAAACATGCATATCTTACGTTATAGATTAAAGATAAAATTAAAAAAGAATTGTTTTCGATAAATAAATTTTAATTAATAAATTTTTATTAATAAATTCAAAGAACAAGTTTTGCAGTTTATGGTTATTGCTATCGCTGATCATTATCATTTACATTTCATATAATTATTCATTATTATTTACATTTTATGTCAACGATTTCAAGATCATTATGTAATCAGTTTTTTTCATATCTTGGAAGTGTTCGTCGCTAATTTATCATATATAGTAAATAATACAATGATTAATAATGAATTTGATCGATATTCATGTTTCTTATTTTAAACATGTCTTAAGTAATGTCTTATATTTCTAGTCTACGACTCTGTGATTGATTTATTACCTTAACAGATTGTATTTACGACGGTCTTAAATATAAGAATCGACTATGAATATTGACTTCAAACGCTTAAAAACTAAAATTTTCCATTTTACACTGTTCTTTTTTGTCTATTTTTCCGTCTTACATATGTACGTTTTAGAATGCAATTGCTTCCGATTGCACTGTGATAACTTGATCGATATATAATTTTCCGCACGAAAAGCTTTATAACGACATGAAGTTTACGACGTCTATTCGCTCGAAACCACACATACTTCTCTATTCGATAATTGAAACTCTCGTTCGAATCGAGGTCCGTTAAACTGAGTGGTGACCTTAACCGATTTCTTATACGATTATGCTAATCGAGCAAGATTATAATTAATGTTAGAATGCCATTAATCTGCTAAGCTCATTTTGCAATGCATCAAATTTTAAAATCAATTTAATGTATTGCTAAAATTGTTATTTAATTGACAAAAACAATAGCAGATTTATAGCATATGATCTACTTGTTGAATGTTCAAAGAATGTATTGAATTTTGACATGCAATCTATACTTGTTCTAGTTATTTAACAATGCTTAATCTTGCTTGTTTTTTTTTACCAAAACATAATTAATTTTCGTACTAATAGTTTATTTAAAAACTTTTTTCTTTAATATTTAATAATTTTGTCTATTAATGTAAGATTTTTTTCTATGAAAACTTTTATTTTTTTATCTTTAAACCTTTTTAATTATATTGACAAACGATACTTTCTAAATTCTTTGGAGTTGAATCACACTCTAAAGAATGAAAATTGAAAAAGAGTGGTTCAATTTTCAGTTTTTAGGAATGAGATTTTACTCTTCAGAGTGAAAATTCATTGTAAAAGTTTTAGAGAGTATGATTGTATATCAATTGAATAGCCAGCTAAATTAAGTAATTGATTAATGAGGAATTGACAAACAGAAAAAGGACGGTAGAGGAAACGCGTGTTATTGTTGATAAAATATGAAAAATTCTTTTTCTTATTTTATCAACAATAACGCGCGTTTTCTCTACCGTCCTTTTTCTGTTTGTCAATTCCTCATTAATCTTAAATTTTATTCAGGAAACCAATGTACCCATAACCTTGAATGATTGTAGTTAACAAAGGAAGTCCTTCCCTGGTTGCGAAATCGGTACGGCTGATCACGTGTCCATTCCCTCGTTCATATTGCTCGCCGATTGGCCGCGTTAGCGATCGCAGTTTCACTGCGTCGCGCGCGCTGCTCGTTCAGTTGTATTGAGCATCACTCTCGCGACGCACCTCTTATCATCGGTTTGCAATCGGCTACACGTGCATGCACGTGTGCCTATGCGTGCGTAGGCGGTTACACGCGTGCTTGCTTGTGTACATTTAATCAGGTGCATTATTATGTTCGCCAGTCAAATCATGGATACTTGCGACGTTCTTGTCGCTCAGTCATTATTCGAGACGTGTACGTAGCATAGAGAAATGTCGAAGGAAGTCGAAAAAGGTACGATAAATTTTTGCGAGTTTTCATTCCATCAAATATTTGATACATCACACTTGATCAAAAAAAAGTGAATTAGTTCCGCGATTTACCTGTGCCGCACGGATTTCGTAATCTTTGCTTACCGATTTTATTGAAATTAAAATTATTATTTGAAATGACTCCTGAGAAATGCTGTTCGATAAAACGGAAATAGTGTGAATAATATTAATGAAATAGTATTATGCGCATTATTATGTATTTATAATAATAATATAAGTTATAAAGATAAGTTTAACGTGGAAGTTTACTATGCTATAACAACAAGTTTTAATTTTATAATTTTTATATATGTGTGTGTGTGTGTGTGTGTGTGTGTGTGTGTGTGTGTGTGTGTGTGTGTGTGTGTGTGTGTGTGTGTGTGTGTGTGTGTGTGTGTGTGTGCGAACTTTGATAGAAGGATCAGTCATTTTTTATTGAATTTGAATTTTTTTTTATTGAAAGTGTTTCGACATTGCAATTGTTTCATAAGAATTTTGTGGCATTCGTGATGTAACATGTTACTTAAGAATATATCCTAAAAGCAGAATAAATAATCATAACATTAAAATTACGTTAAAATGAATCTTTATTGATTGAAAAGTGATTTTTATAGTAATCATTTTTAACGTTACTTTAATATTATGATAACTTGTATTCTGTTTAACATATATGTCAAAACATATGAATATATTACGTGAATAAGTAGAAGTCAAATATAAGGCATTTAGAAATAATTATAACAATTAAGATGACATTATTCAACCATAGATAGATTGGAATATGGGCTGTACAGAATGGAAAGTGTTCGATGCTTTGAGTGAAACTCCTTTTAAACAGACATATGTTTAATTTATCGAGAAACACAGGAATTCGGCTCACGTTGATATTTACAATAGAAAGTGTTCGGCTATTACGCTTTAAGAGTGTGATAGTAACATATTAACGGGTTCTCAAGGACTTGACGATGAAATAAACGCTATATATACGAGCGGCAAAATTTGTCAGCTAATTGTGGTATTAGTATTTAAATATAAAATTGCTGCGACTCAAGAACATCTCACGTACTAGCCATAAAATATTACTTTAAAATTATGCTTTAAAACGCGTCATTCAGTCTTACGTGTAAGCATACTTCATTACCATAATTACTGTGAAATAACTGCCAAAAAGCTTCTCGTGTTCATGTAAATTAAAGGTTATGATGTAGACGGTAAATATATAATGTCTAGACTCATTATTTTCTAAAACTTATTTAAGTATTTTTATTTATTTTTTCGCATATTTTCATAATTTTTAAGAGAATATTCGAGTATCAAAAAGAAACAAGGTTTTTATTCATCAAATTAATTCATGGATGAAAACAATTTCAAAGTATTTACTAATTGAATATGCACCGTAAGTATCTACGTAATGGTTTGCACAATTATTCATATTGAATATTGCATTTGTATAATAAATTCACGAGTCACACATTCGCTTGAAATAATAAGGAAGTCGTATGTTGAAAAAATGAAAACATAAAACTGCATTATGACATTTTGTTTACATAAGCTCTCATAGAAATTTCATAGAAAAATGTATTTTGGAAATCTCATAGAAAAATGTATTTTGAAAAAAAGATTTATTATATTTATTTTAGTATTATAATTCAAACCTTTCAAAAGAAAGATATACGTATATAAATAAAATACTTATATTAAATCTATTAAATATTCTAATCGAGATAACCAGACCTTCAATTACAATTCAAGCAGAATTCTGATTTATACGGAATTTTCTTTTAAAATTTA